TTATGAGACGATGATCGGTATGTGCTTATAGGAATTTAATTTCGCTCTTAAATGACATTTCTGACAGGCTGCTCAGCCATCACTGTTATTTTTCTAATCGCTCAGCGAGAAAATACTTACCTTGAGCCATTGCTGCCGCACATGTAATGAGGAGTAGATGGAAAACTTTCTTTAGAACGTTCATATTGACCTCATTTCCTTGACGGACCTAATGCACCCACAGCTAAGCCTTGAGACATACGTGAGTTATTTATCAGGGACGATGATCGGTATGTTATGGGCGGCCGTCACCAACAAGAATACAAGGGTGTCAAATAGATCAGCAAATATAAAGAAGGTTTAAGGATCAGCTGCAGGATAGCTAATAAAGGAATGGCATGGCCATATTATAGACGGTTTAGATTTCCTTCATGAAAGGCGTTTTCCCAACTTCAATGCCTCAATTAATTGTAATTTCCGTCCATTTACCCGCACGGCAGATTACCCGCATGGGTCAATTTTTGCAATAACGAGGAAAAAATTTCAACGGATTAACCGCACTGGCAGATAACCCGCACCCTTATCAAAGAAACAAGCTTTGAAATTGACAAGGTAAGAAAGTAAGAGTACAAACAAGATACAAGCTTTGTTAACGAGTTTTGTTTGTTTTCGATTTGCATCGGCTTTCATCGAGAGCATTAAAGTCTTTTATTATGACGAGCAATCTGCGCGAAATAAATGAGTTATTACACAGGTTTTTTTGAATAGTATCTTTAGTGGATCTTATCATCTCTGTTTTTTTTTCCTGCTTACAGTTTTAAAACTATACCGGAAGCTTAAAAAATTATCGTATTACCCCGGCGCACCTTCCTATAACCCGCACCAACAACTGTTTGTGGAAAAATTAACAGATTACCCGCGGGTAATCGGCCGGAAATTACGGTAAGCCGCCAAACCAGGAAAAATAGGCAAATCTCTTTCTTCTTCAAAAGATTCGTGTCTGCTATTCAAGGGTAGTTTCCTTTCTTTTATCCTGGAATGCAAAGTATTCGGTCCCATGCGAACACCCCTGCATCTGGATGTAACTAACATCAGGAATAGGCAATGGGTAATGTGCAATGGGTAATGTGCAATGGGTAATGTGCAATGGGTAATGTGCAATGGGTAATGTGCAATGGGTAATGTGCAATGGGTTACCGGTAACCGGTAACCAGGAACGGGAGTGCTGCACCGAAAGTGCAGGAGCAGAACCGGGAGTACTGCACCCAAAGCTGCAGCAGTAATCCACATAACGATTAAGAATGGTGGATGATAAAAAGAAGAAAGGGTCCGCACTAGATTAGGTGAGCGGTGCGCTTGGTCGTCGGAGCAATCATCATGGACGATAAATAAAGTTTTCATTTAAGGGGTTTTTACCTGTTTTTTGACACAGGAACTCGTGAACTCTTCTGATGAAAGATACCAAGATGAATAATTAAGTTCTTCGAAAACCATTAAACTTTGCATTTATAGGGACTTTCAATTCGGACAAAGAGAGAAAGTGAAGAGGAAAGAGGAAGGTTGAACGGCGTGATCATTGTCCGTCTCAGAACCAAGACATGGGGCACAGTTTTACCCAATACGGACCGACCTAAGCTGGTGAATAACATTTTCATTTTTTCTAAAACCTTACGAAATTCCTGCCAAAATAACCCGAATTATTTAGGGCTGTATAATTACGGCAAGATCCTCCTTAAACTGAACAATCTATGAGCGAATAAAGAGTAGTTAAAACAGAGGTAGTATGAATTAAAGGTGATTTAAAAGGCTTCTAAACAAACTTTGAAACATTGTTTTCACAAGTTTCTGTGACAATTGACACCTGTCAATTTTTAGAGCTCGCAAGAAAAAAAAAAAAAGCTCATGTACACTTCTGAAAAAAAAAAACCAACGGTACTGGTTTGGTAAACGAACTCAAGTTCAATAACTGTCACGACAATGTTTTCTTAAAACCATTAAATGATCTCACAGAGAGTATTATTCACTTCCATCGATGCTTAGTGTACAAAGAATACCTCTGTAAATTGCAAGGAAAGTTGTGAGTAAATTCAAATGTATGCTTTGAAGTTGTGTGAGTTTGCTCGTTTGTTTGTTGCAGTGGGGCGTCTAAGTCTGGTCTTTTTCAACCAGGTAACTAAAGTCAAATGAGACACTTTAGCTAGACCCAAGGGAAATTTAATGAAGCTTTTTCTCGTTGAATTCATTTGGTTTATGTCGTTCAATTTTCGGTACAAATGGCAAAATTGAACGGGTTGACTTGCAAAGACTTACCGAAAGCGTATTTAAAGTAGGATGCGAATGCATCACATCGCTTTGGTCAGAAGAAATTTTCATTTCCAGCTGTTGTCAACACAGCCAGTAGTTATCGGCAATTGAAAAAATAAGCCGCTAAGATCTTGAGAGTGCAGGTGTTTAAAAGAGCCTGCCATTTTGAGGAAAGATGCGATGAAATTGTGAGGGAACATCATCTGAGCGTCTGAGGCCATTCTTTCATTCATATATCTCCGTCAATTAATTTTTTTTCCAGTCATTCCTAGCCCACGTATTTTTTCGTGAAGATTGAAGATTGAAGTGATGAGGAGCTCTGCTGCACTTTCTCGCTGCCGCTATACATAAAACTTCTCACGGTGATTAGGGAAAATAAATGGCACTTGTCAACGAAGACATTTATAATCATCAGTTATAAGTCTCTTTGATCTAAGGAATGAAGGGGTTAAGAATGCAGGGAAAAACCAAACTGCAAAAGCAAATTTCCTTGCGTCTTAGCTTGTGCTTTTTAAGTTCGATCACGAGTCCCTTTATTCCTTCCTCCATTAACTCGGTTTTTTCCTTCATTTGTTCATGCGTTTCGAAAGCCATTCTCTGTTTAGTTCGTCGAGTCGTTCACGCGTCGGTTTGTCCGTCCATTCCTTTGTTTACTTATTTTAGTTCACTCATTTTTCATAGTTTGACCACTCGACTGGTTCACTTTTCATTTTACTGACGGTAGCTAACTTGGAAAGCGTCTCTAAGCTCCTTTGATTTCGACG